AGTTTTGATTCCACCATCCCTCTCTGGTTGTCTAACATTACTGGACTTTTGCGTCTCCATCTTGATGATAATCGATTTCACGGGCCAATTCCTGATACTCTTGGAAGATTATCCTCTCTCACTCACATTGGTCTTTCTGATAACTCTTTTAACACTTCAATGCCTAGTTCATTGGGAAACTTGAGCAGTCTTGTTCTTCTAGACCTCTTTGGCAATGAGTTTCAAGGAAGTTTACAAACCACAATAAAGAATCTATGTAGGTTACACGTGTTGGATTTGTCAAACAACAATTTTAGTGGTGAGATTCCAAGTCTTGAAGGAGGTCCATTTGGTTGCCATAAGAATTTAGAGCGGCTTCTTCTTTCTAGGAACTCAATTCACGGTCCAATCCCCGTGTCAATTGGAAGACTATTGCGTTTGAGAGAGTTAGATGTTAGTAGAAATCAGTTGAATGGGAGCATTCCCTTGAGTCTTGGACAACTTTCAAAACTAGAAATGTTAGATGTTTCTCACAATTATTTGGCCGGAATGGTATCTGAATATCACTTCACTAAACTCACCAGGTTGAATACATTGTCCATGTCCTTCAACTTCCTAGCTTTAAATGTGAGCTCCCAATGGATTCCTCCTTTCCAACTCCAACACATTGAATTGGCATCCTGTAATCTAGGACCTCGATTTCCTTCTTGGCTTCAAACACAGACACGCGTGATAATGTTGAGCATGTACAATGCGAGCGTCTCAGATACCATACCAGATTGGTTTGATAACGTATATTCACATATCCTCTACTTGGATCTATCCATGAACCAAATCAGTGGAAAACTCCCAAAATTTGTAGAATCGAATAACTCCATTTGGATAGGCTTCAGGGAATTAATATTGAAGTCCAACAAATTCGACGGACCATTGACATTGTTTCCTTCAGATGTTACTATTTTAGATCTATCTGATAACTTACTTTCCGGACATATTCCTATGATTAAAGATGTGGTGAATCTGAAATTGGAACAATTTATTCTATCCAACAACCAGTTGTCTGGGGAAATTCCAACGTTTTTATGCAACGTGAAGACAATGATTTTTATTGATCTCTCAAGAAATCAATTGTCAGGAAGACTCCCAAAGTGCTTGGGGTTTTTGCAACAGTTGAGGATTCTAGATGTGACAAACAACAGCTTACATGGTGAAATTCCAAGTACTTTAGGTTCCCTATGGAATCTTGAATCTTTACACTTGCGCAATAACAGATTTTGTGGGAAGTTCCCATTGTCTTTACAGAATTTGACTTCCCTGCAAGTTCTTGATCTTGGTAAGAATGCGTTCACTGGTATCATACCTCCATGGATCGGAGAAAAGCTATTGAATTTGGAATTTCTTAATCTTCAATCAAATAAGTTTCATGGTGATATTCCTCCAAAGATTTGTTGGCTCTCTGCACTTCAACTGTTGAACGTGGCACAAAATAGTATCACGGGTAATATTCCACATTGTTTTGGCAATTTTACCGCCATGGTCATGGATCAAGGTCTTGTCAAGGGAGGGTCTGGGGTTGGTGCAAATTACAAAGAATATATTATAGATTCTATAAGAGGAATAGAACGTACATATACCGCAGCAATCGAAGAACATTCATCGATAGATCTTTCAAACAATAATATAGATGGAGAGATTCCAGAAGAGTTGATGAATCTCTTGGGGTTATGGAAATTGAATTTAGCTGGAAATCATCTGAATGGAAGGATTCCTGAGACAATTGGAAATTTGAAGAGAGTGGAATCCCTTGATCTATCTAAAAACGAGCTTTCCGGTTCAATTCCTTCAGGTTTGTCAGATTTATACTTCCTAAGCCACTTAAATTTATCATTCAATAACTTATCAGGGCGAATACCAAAGGGAAATCAACTCCAGACCCTGGATGATCAATCCATTTACATGGGCAACAGTGAGCTTTGTGGAGCACCACTCCTAAAGAGTTGCCCGGGGGATAAACCAGTTGAGGGTCATGATCAGCAGTTTCAAGCTAAAGGTGAAGATAGTTTCGAATTTCTTTGGTTCTATGCTGGCATTGGACCTGGTTTCTTTGTTGGATTCTTGGCGGTTTGTTGTACCTTGCTTTTTAAAAAATCTTGGAGGTATGCATACTTTGGGCTCGTCGAGAATGTTTACAACGGGCTACTTTTAGCAAGTGCATTGACTGCTGCTAGGCTGCGAAGGAAGTTCCGCAAAGGTGAATTTGGAGCATGAACGCCATCTCTATGAAATGGTTACTCTCTCTCTCTCACTCTCTCGTATATCTACATACGAATTTAAAGTTGGTCAGAGTTAAAAAACTCTATTTAGCTAAACTAATGGCCAAAACATATTTATTTGGAATTCTAAAATATGAAATAGAAGAAATAATCCATACCGGGAAAGAGAAGATTATAACATTCTTGATGCAACATTTGAAAACACCTCCTATAGGCCATGTATATCGAACATAATCATAATAGACTAGAATACATCGGATTATAAGTTTTCTTAGAAAGTCTACTTTATTAGCTCTTGTGAATACCAACCATAGCATAATGCTATAGGCCTGTTCATTGTCCAAAATGTGTTAGTTATTTCGTTTCCTTTTTATTGATATCTTTATACATAAATGGCTGGGTCCAAGGATCAAATTTTCAATTGATCGGGTGTAGTTTTAGTTTTGATAAGCTCGGAAACGAAAAAGTTTCAGAACATACCAAAATACATAAAAATATTATGAAATAGCTAGAAACACATAAATTTTAATGTTCAATCAGTTCATTTGTGCAAACCAAAATGTTTCGGTTGTTTCATCGTAACCAATACAAAATTTACTTCCTTGGCTAGGACATATCTTGAAATGATCATTTAAAAACCTTCATCAAGGTATGTACCCCTAGTACTCCCTCCTCGTCATAGGATATGACAAAATGGGTCTAAAGACATCAAGGAAAAAACATACACATTTTGTTTTGTTCTTGAAATGGTGACTGAAAAAAAAATGAAAATATGACTTATTTCTCGAAACAGAGAGTCCAACACCGTGTAAATTTGTCAAATAAGAGCTATAAACTTCAGTACTGCATTAAGCGTTTCAAATTTTTTTTTTTTTTAATCTGAAACAATATGTATTCTCACTAAGAAATAGTAAAGGAATTACAATCCGTGGACAAAACTAAGTAGCTTCTTAATTGCCTTGTTTATTAGAAACCATCATGATATTTATAAACACTTGCATATTATTTTTTGGATTCTTTCTACAACAGGGATTTAAATTTAGTTTTTTTTTAGGTACTCCCGCGGGAGCCGGATTTGACAGAGAGCATTAGATTTCTTAGCAATAATGTTGCAGAAAAAGGATCAGGCAATGAATTATTAATTTTTATTATTTTTAGCTTGTTTTGGATAATAGAAACAATGTTAAATGTTGTAGACTACTTTACTAATGTTTCTGAGCCAAGCTAGGCCTGGTTTCTACTATGCGAATGGATTTTATGTTGTATGATAGGATTGTTATGTTATTAAGATATGTTTCTGATGAATTAGAATGAAAATGTATTTGTGAAAGGTTGTCTGTTTTTTTCGTCGAGTGAAGTAAACCTTTTTGTTTTATTTCATAGAGTGAAGTAAACTTGACTGTGCCACGGTAAAGGATAATACGACAACTATAATAGAACACTGATGGACAAGAAACCTTTCTTCTGATCGATGTGATTTTCAACTAGCAAGTAATATACTGTCATCACCACACAATAATTGTTCTAAAACCACGTGTTAATATGAACAGATATCATTGACAGAACCAAGTTGTGGGATAGGGAGCAATGCCTTCCTCAAGTTTTCTATAAATCCTATAATAAAGGTACGTCACAAAATAGTTTGATAATGCATGATTGAAACTTTAGCATGAACACATGAACGCACACCTTCGGCCAATTTGATTCGCTGGTAATGTTAGCTCCATAGAATACTTAAAGGAACTTGTGGTATTGTGGCAAAGCGTAGTAGGCAAAAGTCGACGAAGCCAGCTAGTTACAGGTTCGAATCTCAAGGGCAATTGAGAGCATCTGCGACCCAACCATCCAGGCTACTCGCATCATGGATTCTCCAGTGTGTAGGGATTACAATGGTCACTTCTAGGTAAGATCATCTACCACTGGTTGCCCCTTACTTCATAATTTTCCCAGCAAAAAAGAAAAAAAAAAGTAGTCAAACTAGTTGAATGGTGTTGGTGAATAAAATTTTTGGTTACACTAATATTTATCTCAGTTGGGGTAAAATCCTGATTCCTTCTCAATGCAGTGGAATTGATCATCAATTAAGTCCCCAGATTTAAGTTACCAAGTTAGGTACAAATAGCATTTTTCAATCATGAATTCTAAAATTTCTTCTATCACTCTTTCTTTAACAAACATTCTATGAGCATCTAGTCAATGTGTTAAACCTAGTCCATTATACTTGTCAAATTTTTAGGTTGCAATACTTGTGTTAAACCTATTGTAATTCCATAACATCAATTTCATAACCAATGGAGTCAATTGCCCTAAAACATTGCAGCTATAAGATCAATACCACCATTGTAACTGTGGCTTCCACCCCCTACCACACAATTGCTATTTGCTACCCTCATCTGTCCCATTGCCTCCCACAGAGATTTCCAACCAAATCACTTGCGTCTGTCCACTAGAATCAAATTTCACAATCCACTAACTAAAATTACCTAAATTCTCTGCTAATTTGGTTGCAAATAACAAATATAATTAAAAATCATTCAATGTTAGAATATCAGCGGATCATCAAAGTGCTCTCATGTAGTATATACCATAACAAAACCAATTGAGAGGAGCATATAAAAAAGTTTTCAAATCATCAATTCCTAGAGTTTGAGCCTATATAGAAAAGTAACAAAAGCAAAACTATCCATAAATCTTCCTCAGAGAGCTTCAAAACCCACCTCCCAAATTCCACAATAGACTGACATTTCCCTAGTTCCATGCCTTTAAACACCGTCCAATCTGAAATGAAACAAATGCATCAACGCAAGCGTACATTACCTGATCAAGGCTAAGCCAATCGACGTCCCATTCACTCATAGTGACACAATTCGGCTTCTCAAAATTCTTCCCAAGAACGTCTCTCGCCAACCCCACCAACCCAGCAGAGCGAAACGCGTCACTACCCAACTCCCTCGCCGCCAGCCCTCGAAGATCGACGGTGTTCGCCACCTCCAGACAACACTCATCCCGTAGCTTTTCAACGTCTTGGTTGATTCCAACACCCACAAACGTGTAATCGTCGTTGCTAAGGAAGTCTAAGAGGGATTGGGGAATTTCGGGTGCCCAGATGAGTTGAAAGATGAGGCAGTTTTGGCCGATACAGAGTTGTAGCGTGGCCGGTGGGTTGGAACCGGGACGCCATTCGACATCGAGGCCCACAATGAGTTTGTGGAGCCTGTGACGGTGAAGGTACTCCATGTCGGAGATCCATGTATCTACAATGCAGGGGGTGGAGGTCACTAGGGTTTTGATGGTGTCGTCGAAGAAATCTACGTCGTAGAGCTCGTACGAACGGTAAGGTAGCTCAAAACTTCGAATGCTGATAGCCATGGTGGTTTTTCAGAAAGTGGAAGGGAGGGAGGAAGACAAAGAGAGGTGAATGCTACTTTCTACTTTTAAAAATTCGGTATATTTCACCGACAGTTAAGCCATATTTCAACGATGTTCTCTCTTATTTTGTAAACTAAGTAAATACCCGAAGGAGTAAAAATTTTGCAAATATTTACCCATGCACGAAAACAATGTATAACACATTTCCGACAATCACTATGACCCACTAATATTTTAAAGAACTTTGATAGAATTCAATTTTTCAGGACCTTTGAAGATAGAAAAATTAAAATCATTAATAAACATTAAAAAATTAATGCATAGGCACAATAACACGTCCTAGTTTTGATTTTTCTTTTCATCTTACCTCTAACTAAAATACCACCCCATACAAAAGTTTTTACAAAAAAAAAATATCTCCGTTATTCGGTGTCACTATTATTCTAAATACCTGATTTTCTACGAAGTAGCAAATATATTAATCTAAGTACCACCACCAAAACCCAGTTGCACCAATTACTATTCAACTTCCTAAAATCTTACAGTTGAGAAACAAAAGTTACATAAGAATAAAAACATGTGAGAATTCTAATGAAGAAAATTTTCCAAGAGAATGCAGCATTCATTTGAAGCTTCTATCTATGTGAGAATTCTACTTAGGATTTTGCTTGGGTTTTTTCACAACAAAGTTTGTTTGTTTCTCTTTTTTTTTCTTGGTTACCTTGCATCAGTTTTTTAATATAAAAGCATCAATAGATTAGTGAATTAAATAGTGCCACAGACATGTATTCTCAATTTTTATGCCAAAGATTTTAAAAAAATTTAAAAAACATCATATAATAGAAGTGAAGATTAGGCTTTTCCAATAAACGTAAATATGAGCTTACCACATAACTTGATTTTTTTTCTTTCCCCAAGATCAATGAATCAACTTCAATAATGAATCAACTAAACTAATTTCATGATCCCAAACCAAACCAATTCACTTTTTCTCAATTCAATATTGTTTTTCTCATATTCACCACTTCAAACAGAATCATTAAAAAGTGAACAACCAATCCAAACTTGAATTAATCATATTAGTAGGATCAACATTAATCCTGCTGGTCAATATCCTAGCTAATGTCCATGCGTAACACAAAACAAAGATATCCAATTAGAAAAAAAATAATAGGTAAGTGACAAAATAAATACGGTAAGATAGATAAAACCTTTATAAACTCATATTCTAACTCATGAAATAGGCTTACAAAGACCATCCAATGCAAACTTTCAAACTTGAAGTTCATGATAGAATTAGAGAAATAGGCTAGTTACCTATTTTTTACACCTATTCGTGAACTATTTGAATAACTACAACTCATTAACCATTCATTCATTACTTTCAAACCATTTCATTCTTCCTTTAATCTCAACCTGAAATGAACTAAAAAGAACTTTAAAATTATAAACAATATTATTACCAATAAAATAGTCGGTTCTACTAAATTGATTCTTCAAAGCATGTTATTATGCTAACTGCTCCTTGAATTTTCTACTCCTGCAATAAAAGAATTTCAATGAAGTTAAATCCACAACCTCTTATCAAACATGACACTTTTATCACTCAATACAAAATTAGGGAAGAATCACTTATAATAAAAGTGAGAATCACATTCTAAAATGAACACTTAATCCAATAGCAACAACATCCATCATTTTGATCCTATTATTTAAAACATAAAGATTGTGATGAACCAACAAAGATAGCCATTAAGCAAAAGATACCTAGTTAACAATATTTAAGTAATTAACTAAAAAAATTAGAGAAAGGAAAAGTGATAAAACATAGCAAAGTAGTCGTATGATGAAAAAGCAATGAGCTGGATTTTAAAAAAAATTGGATTCATATGATGCAACTATCCAAAATTAAACTACCAACTAAAAATTCCCTTTTCACATACCTAATGTGAAAAATGTTGCACTTATGAAGAAGCTTTAAAGGGATAGTGAACTAAGGCTGGGGACCGTGGGATTGCAATACAATCACAGGCAAAGATCACAACATCTATAATATAAAAAGACTATACAACTTAAAAAATATATTATTTACTTTTGAGATTGTTGTGTAGAGATACAAAACACATAGAGATGCAAAAATATAACAGTGACAACACTATATGACACACTGTGTATGGAGTTTTTGGATCATCATAGGTGGGATTCTTGGTCTTGGAAGCTACTATTTCCATTATGTATCTTGTAAATTGACTTGCCTGTAGAATTTTTCTCATTGTTTTGTCGAGAAGCATTGTCAAAGTGACATATGCCACCATTCTCAAATTGTTTAGTATTTGCCATTCCAAGTGGAGACTTATAGGGGTTGGCATTCAGGATCCTTAAAATTGGAGAGATCCTTAAAATTGAATCCAAAAGAAGAGCAATAGATTACTAACCCAAACAATAAAATAAACTCAATAGGCATAAAAATATGAACGACTATTTTTTAATTGATTTTATTCCATCGATCAATAAACGTTTAATTTCAATTGACTCAATTCACAATATAACAAACAGTCACAATTGATTCAGTTAGACCAATGATCTATTGTCAATATTATATGAAGTACCATCTCCCATTTAAGTTACCGTAGGTGTGGAAAACTTTTTTTTTGCCTGTTCTTTCTTTGTGACAAATAGCTTGATAACTCAGTATGCAACTTAATGGACGGGCATGAAATTCAAGTTAATATTATAAATTGAAGCTTGTTTCTTCTAAGAGCAGAATGGTTCAATAACATTAAATGTCTGCACTGCATCACCAAGGAGAAGGAAGTATAGATTTTTCTCTCAGTATCAAGCATTACCCAGACTGAACTTCCACTACTGTGGCAGCCACCATGGGCAATGACATGGTGTGGCAGAGGCCGTGGAGACAAAAGACATGGAGGGAAAGTAAGGAGAGATGAATTAACACCCAATTTCAAACACCCAATTCAAAACCCTAGATTAACATATTGAGTGTGTCGTGATGTCTGTGTGTGTGTGTGTGTGAGTGCTCTGGGTGGGTGGGGGACTGTGTGTGTGTAACTGTGTGTGCGTGTGTAGAGAGGGAGATGAGAAAGAGAGGGGAGAGAGAGAGAGAGAGCTCACCTGGGTCGGTGGGGGTGGCTGGTGCAAGTTGAGAGGGAAGAGAGAGGTCGCAAAAGAGGAGACAACAGAGAGAAAAAGAAGAAGAGAGACGTTGGCCCTTGGGAGTTGTGGACTGTGCAAAAGTTTGGGCAAGATAAGTTTTTTGTGTGGGATGCATTCTCAGCCTTTAGATTAACTTGGAATAATGAAGATGAAATGTAGGCCATTAAATTAAAAGTAGATTAAATCTGAACCGTCCTTGTGCTTTCCCAAATGAATTAAAATTAGATTAAATTTTGAAGTAAAAATGAATTCAAATTGGGTTCTATCTTATTAATATAGATATAGATATTATTGTATATCCCTATAATTTATATACACGTTTCACAAATTAACTCAATAATCTAATGTCGTTACTAACAAATAAAAAAATTGTGATGTGGCTTATTCTCTTGTGAATTGTCAAATTTACCTTTGATCATATAAAATAAACTTAAAGTAATAGGAAATATCCTTTTACTATTAATTTAATTAAATTAAATGCTAATTGAATTAAACATGATGTTTTCTATAAAAAATATATGGATTAAAAAAATGTTAATTTGGTCTTAATTTTAAAAAATAATATTAATTTGATAAAACTAAATATTAAATTCAAAAATTGAAAGTTAATTTTATGAAATGGAATGATCATTTGATATTGATTTGATAAAATTGAATGTCAATTTGAAATTCAATGAGAAAAAAAGAGATGTTAATTTTGATAAATTGGATGTTAAATTAATAAAATTAAATGTGAACTTGGGTTAATTTGATGAAATTGAATATGAATTTGGTGTTAATTTTATAAAATTGTATATCAATTTGATGAGATTGAATATTAATTTCCTAAAATCAAATGATAATTTTATAAAATTTAAGATCAATTTCACGTTAATTTGGTAAAATATTATATTAATTTGATGAAGCTTAATGTGATTTTGATAAATCTAAATGTTAATTTAGCATTAATTTTATGAAATTGAATATTAATTTGGTATTAGTTTAATAAAATTGAATGTTAATTGGATGAATTGAATGCTAATTTGATGAATATGAATGTTAATTTGGTGCTAATTTATTGAATATTATTCTGGTGTTAATTTGATAAAATTAAATATTAATTAGATGAAATTGAATATCAATCAAATAAAATTAAAGGTCAATTTGATGTTAATTTGATAAAATTATAGATTAATTTTGTATTAATTTGAGTAAAGGTAATTAAATAAAGTGGGAGTTCTAGTAAAGATAATTATATAAAATTAAGTCATCTTTTAAAGGACAAAAACTATAATGTTATTTTAGAACGTAAAGTGTGTTAATGAAATATAAATTAAATCTAGGGAATTTTTTGATGAAATTTACCCTAAAAATTATTAATCTTGAATTAGATTAAAAAATTAGCAATTGAATTCAAAACTAAAATTTTGTTGCCTTTTTGATAATATTTTTGTTTTATTGTTATACATGATTATTTTTAATATTTTTAATAAAAAGTTTGCATTCAATTTTCTTAAAATGAAGACATTGTTACTTTTTTACGTGATTAATAATATAATATAAGAGGTTTAATTTTGTTGAGTATAAATTGAGAAAATGAAGATCTTTCAAGATAAAAAATATCATTTGCCCCTAAATGGGAGAAGGTAGAAGTAAGAGAGAGCAAGAGAGCCGAGTTTTGCAAGTTTGAGCTAAGTCTATCGAACTTGTTTAAAAAATGAGTTAAGTCAAAGCCGAACCCGAATAGCTCAATTATTTTATATATAGATAAGTAAAATTTTGTGAGTTCAAATTGATCCTTTTAGGTTCATTTTTTTAAATTAGTCTAAAAATTTGTTTAAACTAACAAATAATACTATGTACCCATGACCAAGTGACCAACAAATATATTAACAAATAATACTTTGTACTTTGAATGATCTCAAAATATTAATTTATTTCTTAAAAGATTAAAATTCTCATATTATACCCTCAATCAAACAAAAATATATTAATGTAGTCTTAAATTAAATTTTTTTTTTCTGTATTTGTTATTTTATGCTATTTCTATACGCAATTATTTACATAATACTGAATTCTAAGGAATCAACATCAAATTTTTGACCTCAATGGACCACATTGTCATATTTTTATTTGATTGCTAGCACAATGTGAAATAATTTTAATTGTATAAGGGCATAAATTGAGAATTTGAAGATTTTTTATGATGAAAAATGTCATCAATCCTATGAACACTAGCTTCCATGGGACGCACAATAGGTAAGCAATTGACAATTCATAGAGTGAATGGATGTTGAGTATAAATAAAAATGTGGGTTTTGTACAGATATGAGATAAATGAACGTATCATAACCTGTGCTAGTGAAACATAAAATTCAATTATCTAAAAAATCAATCTAAATATATCAAACAGTAATTTCTTTCCTTTTCTTTCTTTAATTACATAATTTAAAATTAATTTCTATCAATTATTTTTTTTAAAATAAAAATTTATAAAATTTTCTCAAAGTACATTACCTTAAACAGATATCAACATGCACACACCATCATATGTAAACAATGTTTGAATAAAAATTGTGTTAAGCCACAAATTAATCAAAAATTAAATAATTTAATTTTGTGATAGAAATAGAGTCAAAAAAATATATAAGAATAAAATTCAAATTACTAACTCTTATTATATAAATTTGTGGTAAACATTTAAATATCATACAACTTGAAGACAACACAACACTCCTATTCAACATGATTGAAGTTCCAAGCACATGCAGTTGTCCAAACTGATTACTTTACCCCAGTTTCCCTTTTTATATTCGCAGCATATCTTACTGCAAAACCAACTCACAAACATGTGCACCCGCGTGAAGAAAGCAACCCCATCTGCCACAACCACAAAGCCAAAGTGGAATAGAGAAGAGAATATTTTGACCCAACAAAGCAATGCATGAGAACAATTATCAGTGGTAAAGAATCATATGTACAACATAAAAACAAAGTGGATATGAGACACCTCTTTCCAAGCCCTACTACAGTCAAAATGAGATTGCACCATATCTCTTTAACGTTCAAGCAAAGTGCTCAATAAAGTAACATACAATTACTATAACGAATGACAGCCCAGTGCTTACAGCTCAGGCCATTCTAGTTTCTAGAGAAGATCAAATATATGCAACATAATCAAGAATGCCGACTGTTATATGACCAACAAAACCATCAACACAAAGGAAAGCAAATCCATCTCCAAAATCTTTATACAGCTGTTACATATCTATATAATAAAGTAAGCTTACGATTTAAATCTCAAAAAATAAACAAAATGACTTTTACAATTCATGATTGAGATCGCTTTAAATTTTACTTTAATGTTAATCTGACAACTAATATTAACATCATAAATTTAATAGAAAAAATAGACTCATAAGAGTGTGTTTGAAGTAATTTTTTAAAAGTATTTATAAAATTTATAACTTTTCATAAGTACTTCAAAAAAAAATATATATATATATATATATAGTAGTGTTTAGAACTACCTCCCCACCACCACCACCGCTGCCACCATATAATCACTGTCCCACCATCCCCACCACCCCCACCGCCCCACCACTACTGCCACCCACGGTTACCACCATCACAATTGGTCGTCATCACCCATCACAATTATCACCGTCTCCCACCACCACTACTGCCACTCACCACCGCTCGCCCCCACTGGAAATAACTAGTAATCTATATCATAGCAATGACAATTCACTCCTTTCCAACCGGACAACAGTTAACAAGATTGTCAAACAATAAACACAAATTTATTTACTCCACAAAGTACCTGTGTAGAATTATCATTGCGACTGAGAAACTATGAGAATAAGAACACAATCACGGAAAATCTAAAACACTAAATGCAGATTCCTTCAACTAACAAGAGTAGATGTGCAGAATTGTGACAGCCATCGAGAAACTGTAGATGAATAAGAACATAATCATGAAAAAATCGGATCTTTATCTGATTACAAGAATATCGACAAACCTGAACCAATAGCAATCACACTAACTGCATATTACAAATACAGGCTGCAAATAAGAGGGGAAAAAGTGGGGAAAGCAGGGAAATGCCAACAAACTACCTATACAACCACACAACCACTGCCACTCAAATCATTTCTGCCAAAAGGTTAGCTCAACTTCAATATCCTTGGTTTCTTTCTAGCTGATTTCTAAGCAGAAGGATAACATTCTAAGTCAGAAGCAAACCGATTTCTTCCACTGGCTTTGTCCCCTTAGCAAATACATTTCCTTTCTTGCCATACTTGGAGACCACAGAGTCATCGGTATGTAAGTTACAATTTTATAATCAACCACAAAAGGATAGAAAACAAGAAACAAAAATACAGACAAGGTCTATGCGGAGTTACTCCTTAATGTGGCAATTGGGGCATCTTGTTATTGAGTGCTGCGCGTTAACCCACCTCGTGCTATATTTCTGCACAAAAGAGTGACTTGTTATCTTTGACCAGTTTTGAGATAATAATAACCATAGCAAAGCAGCTACCTGTTTCCACGCCTATTTTATGTTTCTCTTTTTAATGTCTTTTTGGGTATATTTCTCTCTTTAATGTTGAAACCATAACAATGAAATAAGTGGAATCGTTTAAAATTGATTATATATGTACAAATAATTACCCACCATATACTAGTGATTCAATTTTATGACCCTGAAGTGGTTACTTAGTATCTCAAAAATATCCTAAATGGGATTTGTGCAAGCAACAATCACGAATGGTTAGTTGCCTTTAAAGCTAAATTTCATAGTCCAACAACATTTAGCTGTAACTGCCTCAATACAGAAGACAGAAGCAGGATGTTTAACACGTATCAAAAAACACAGACACACATACCACACAATCTATTCCTACAGCTCTATAGTTTGACAAGTGCAGAAGATCTGAAGCATGGACCCTTTGGTTTAAAACTGCTAAAATCATCCTACTCAAAACTAATTGGCTACGAGTGGGATATAAGCTCTGTTTACACCGTCCCTCACGTAAGATCCGAGCTCCCACGAGGGGCTAACACACAAGCATGCATACCGGGAAACTAAAATAGAAAAGAGACCTAAGCCCACTGCCAACCCAAGGCCCACCTCAAATACTATGTTAGAGCATCCAACTCAACTAATTGGCTATGAGTAGAGTGGACCTTCAAGTATGCAAATCAACTTTGAGTGGTCCTAATCATATGATGTGGGATACAAGCTCTGTTTACAATAACAAAGATGACGCCAACGAGGAAGCAAATGTAATATAGAGAATAAGAAAGTAGAGCGCACAACCAAGTCTTTATTTCTAGATACACTCACATATTTGAAAATTACTATATCAAGATTAATTGACTCAACAGCAACCATTTTCCAAGGGAGGAAGGGAAAAGAACATTGCAATCAAGAGATTGCACAGGATCATAATTATTTGACCCTATCAAACTCAACAAAACCTTGTGACAACTAGCCATGATCTGCAACATTAATTCAGTTGAATTGTCCCACTAATGCCTAGGACCATATTTTCTTTTCCTACTGTTATATATGCTGGTCAAATTATCTTTGTAGTGCTTCACAAAACTTTCTTCAATATATTCAGTATGAATTATAGATTTGATTGCTGACAACTTCAGAAAAATTAGAATGCAGAAAAATTAAGTTTCGATTGCTGCCAATGTTAGCACATCAACATCAGAGAACTTGCACTTTAAGTAGCACAGCCACAAACACCAAGTATAGGTCACCATGTCGCTTATACTACCTGAGACAAGCATATTCTTATAAACATACAACATATAGAGAACCATTTTGAACCGACTAGTACTATAGGCAGTCTATGTATTACTAGTCAAAGCCTGTATATGGAAATATGGAAACTCAAAGCCAAAGGAAACACCTTACAATCAAAAGTAGATATATAGAACATTGATGTGCCCACAAACAAAAATAAGAAAACCACCATATTTCTAAATACTGCCATTCATTAACATATCTAAAGGTACATAATTATTAATCACATAAATGAAGTCCTAAGGATTAAAAAAATTTATGGTCACTTTATTGGCTTGTATTCAAAGTAGTATGTCGAGATGTTAAAAAAATAAAGCACAAAGTCCATTTTACCATGCCGCGGTCTGAGCCCATAGCTCTTTACTCAAGGTTTAAAATTAATCACATAACACCATATGCTTTGGATTAAAGTGCTAACCTCACAAATTCGATTCAAAATGAATGGAATTGTCTTACATGCGCAAATTTGAGAGTTGAATTGCTAAACATTTCAATCAAAATCAAATATTAAGGCTGAAAAACAAATATGCACTAGTAATTTTCATTACAATGAAAAGAAAAAAAAACCTTATTTTCATCTTCTTCCGCATCAACTCTTCAATAGTTCAAAGGTTTGAAAAAAAAAAAGGAACTCTTCACAAGTTCAAACCTACGCTCCCACCATCTACTCCACTCCCTCCTAGCGCCCAACCACCATTGCTTCACTGATCCTACACCTCTCTGAAGCACCCAACCACGACCCACTACCATTCACCATCTCCTTGAACCCCTTGCAGCACTCAACCAGTATCCACCATCACTCTGTCTCGCAGCACCTGTGCAACACCATTCACCAATGCTCTGCTACACCCACCCTGCATCCAACCACCACATTCACCACTGCAACCACCCATGCAAGACCCTAACTATTCTAGACCAATTTCCCACCAGTGTATCTCCAAACACCCAGAACTACCATTACAATCAACACCTTGACAGACTAACGGGCTGAATTTCAATGCATAAGGAGTCAAATTCATCAATCTATTTAATTAAGCTTGCGGTTGTTGTTGAATTTGTAGGACTTAATTTGGAGGATTGTTTTGTAATAGAATGATACTAAGTGTTGAGATTTTTCAAAGAGGAAGGAGAGAGATTGGGGCTCTGGCATCCGATTGTGAACTCTCTCTCTCTCTCTCTCTTTCTCTGCATGTGCTAGGGTGTGTCTCTGATTTTATGATTTTGTTTTCTATATGATCTATATTAACACTTCAATTTTCAGGAGGGTTTGGTCCGTTTGGATGCTAATAATTTATCAATTTTGGTTGTGTGTGAGTCTTCACCAATGCTTTTGCTTCGAGAAGTACAGTGATATGATTGGTAGCCAAAGTGAAGTGGTATATATTCATATGAATATACATATGCATACACAGTTACACGCATACATGCATACCTTACTGGGAGGAGCTGAGAAATGTTCACAGGACCCTTGGAATTTCCTAATCGCTTGGCCCTATTTTCATGTTCTTTATCCACACGCATGGCAGCTACTTCCTTCTCCATGACAGCTACCTCCCTCCTCATCTTCTTGGCTTCAACCTCCATTGCCTTGGTTAAAGTATCAACTTTCTTTGCCAACATCTAAGAAACAAGAGTCACAACCGAACATCTAGCAGAAGCTATATGTTAAGAAGAATTGTAACTCAATAGAAACGAACCAACCTCAATGGCATCATCCTTGTCTTTAAGGCTTTGATCTTTTTCATGACCAGCTTTCCTCAATGCAATCACCTCTTTTTGTAGCATATCATACAACAATCCCGGCACTGTATCCTCTGTATCTGTAGCTGGGAAGTTACTAGGTTTTTCATCTGAGCTGCCTTCCCAGGAATTATTATTTGCCTCGCTCTCCTTAGTCCCCTCACAGGACTGGTTGAGATTAAAATTTGGACCTGCTCCATTTAAGAGGGCTCTACCCCTATCTAATGATCGTGAGCCACCATCGAATGACTTTGATGTTCCTTTTGCATGCTTCAACACAGTACTAGAACCAGAAGACAGAGTAGATCTCGACTGAAAGGATGGTGATCTCTTAGGTAAAAAGCCATTGGAGGTCAATTTCGAGATGTTATCAGCTCCACCCAAGGATTGGCGACGTGAAGGACCGTTACTTGCACATCTTCCATCAGAAATGCTGCGATTGCTAGTGTTTGATGATCTCAAAGTCTCTTCTATTACTTTCAGCCGTAATTGATATTTTTCCTGGAGCGTGTGAGAAAAATACAATCTTCAAAACTATTATAGAAAATATAGTTAAATGGCTTAGAGCCTTAGGTAGACACACTATGACGAAACCAAATTGTCACCTTCAACTGTGCTTCAGATTTTGCTGTTCGCTCAGCTATAGTGAGTTTGTCCCGTAATTGCTGCATGTCACCCTATGACAACAAACGTTAGTTATAATTGCAGACCGGAGAAACTACAGAAGTGAAATACAGAAAAAATTTAATTGCCCAAATAGATACATCACATTGGACCTAAAGGAATGGAAAGAACTCATTCACCCAAGCGATACATTTGGGGTTCGAACACAGAAAACAGCCTCTCCAAAATTGAGATAAGGCTTAGAACTATCCCAAAACCCGTATAGGCGGGGGTCTTTATGCAGCAGGCACAATCCTTTTTTTCCCCATAGAAACAGCATAATGGAGTTCAAAATATCTATATAACAACCGACTACAAACTGGTATACCTGCAAGAACCTTCTTTCTTCAAGCCATTGTTTTACAGGCATCACTTTGTCATTTGCATCTTTCCACTCATTAGCTACTACAACCGCCACCCTGTTTGCTGTTACTTTTGCACGAGCCAGCTCCCTATCAAGAGTTTTTCTTTCCTCCTGGACACAGGAAAAAAACAATTCCAGCATTGAAGATTGCTTAAAGACCATCCGGTAGGAGGATGTAAATGGGCAAGCATGATGCATGGATATATCTATGGCATATTACATTCATCTCTTGAACTTTCCGTTGATAATCCCTCACAGCATTTGCAGCTGCACCACCAGCAAGAACAGCCTCTTCAAGCTCGTGCACAGTTTGGGTGAGCTTTTCGACCTCTGCAACTTTTTGGCGGTGCATTTTGTCAAGAATTTTATTTTCTTCCTGACACATACATTTGACAAATCAAGTCCAATACGCGGGAAAACACAATAATGAAAAGATTATACACCAAAGTGTTGCGACGGTCCTGGAAAAGAAAACAGCATGCATGACCACAATACCTGGCAAATTTCTATCTGCTTCATCAACTCTTGGTTCTTATTTTGGAGATCATCCACCATAGAAGCCTTCACCAAGGCAACCTGCACAGTCCTTTCAGCTTCAAGTAAAGCAGCCTCTTTCGATTTGGTAAGGCGATCTAATGCTTTGTTGTCATCCTGCAGTTTTGCAATCTGTGGGGAACAAAAGCAACAAATTAGTGCTTAAATCCTAGACAATCACCTATTCTAAGGTGACTCTTGTGGCTCTATGTTTCTAAATACTGAGAATGTTCTTCTTGCTTGTCCCCATTTCATGTTAATATCCTGCGTGATCATGGTTGCTCTGTGTGTTTCTAACTGCTATGTAGCAGGGACCTAAATCTGTGACCTCATGGAGGTGCTTTTCCTAATAAGCTAAATGTGTCCCTGCTATACATCTAGAGTGCAATTATAAAGTAATTATGACTTAAACATCCAATAGCAGGACACAATGCATACCTCCTGTCGAGCAAGCTTGAGCTCAGCCTCTAGGGGTGCAAGGATGGCTTCAATTGGAGGCATATCATCATCTTTCTGAGCAGCATGAACCCTTCGAAGAGTGGCTTCTGCTGCAAACTGAGCTGCCATGGAGGCCTTCTTCTCATCATTGATTTTCTTAATTTCAAGATTCTGCCCAAAAAATGATGTCACTCAATATAGCTTTGTAATTGAGATAGAAACATATTGAAGATGAAAGAGCTTCACTACATACTTTGCTTTCTAGAAGAGATTCTGTTAACTTGAGTTTCCCCTCCACCTTCGTCAATTCTTCAGTGAGCTAAAGTGCAAGAGGAACTTATGTCAGCTTTCAATTTAACAGTTTAATATAACTCAATGAAACATATGATAAGGACGAACGGAAAAATTTTAAAAAAGAAGGCAACCTAATGTTCTGCTACCACCATTGGCATATTAATGCAATATTAAATTTACCTACTATGTTCAACTGCTAAAATGCTATGACAGTATCATCCCAAGAGGAACAACTGAATCCCCAAATGCATCATCACAACTTCAGCAAGCAAAACATATATTTAGGCTGGGGTAAAAAAGCCAAAGCAAAGTCTTTGGAAGCATTTTCCAGATACACGTAGCAACAACCCAATGACAACATGCATTAGGACAGAAAGAAGTAATAACATAGTCGAAAAAAGATCACAGGTTACAAGTTAAAAACCATATAATGGAAAGGGAATTCTGCCTAGATGTTTCAAATGATTGGAAACAGAGACTATTAACTGATCCAACCAACGTCAAATTGAAATTCGAAAATCATAAAGAGGACACCGCCAGCTTATTCAGATAGAAAAAATACGAAGCCAGAAAACAAAATTCAAAGTTGAAGAAAATAGGCATTGGGAGGTTTTTTTTTTTTCGAATTCCACATTATGACAGAAATTGCAAATCTACATTCTAATTATGGCATACGAACTCATTACACTATCAAAACTCAATCCGATTCCAATTCTTTAAAAAGTGAAAAAAGAATGATCTATTTCGAAAAAACAAAACATAACAATAACATAAACATAACCTCTTCAACGGCCTTTTCTCGGAGTCGCTCTGACAACTTCAACGCCCTGATCTCCGCTTGCGCTTCCCCCAACTCTCGATCCTTATCTGTACACAGAACGATACCGTATTGTCAAACCACCATAAAAACCAAAAACGACAAAATGAATCGCCGGATCAACTCGCATTCCTCACCTCTGACTTCATTCTCCAACCGGTTAAGCTCTACCTTCACCGGATCCGAGCCGTGAAGCAAATTTATGAACTCATCCGCGTCCAAACTTGGCCTCACCGAAGCTCTCCTCCTCGACGAACCACTCTTCCCGTCCCTGAACGATCCCGACACCGTCAACGGCGTCGCAGTGGCCATTCCCGTCGCAATCATGGCGTCAATCGTTGCTGTCGCCCGTACATTGCCATCATTATCTCCGAAACTCAGCTCCGGCGTTCTTGAAACCCCTCCTTCGCCGGAAAACTCCGCCATCTCCGATCTGACCCTAATCCCTCTCACATCAAATACCTAAGCCTCCTTTGCACACAATCTGTAGTGTTTCAAATCTCTAAACACGCAAAATACAGATAAATACACATCTATATAGGTATATCGAGAGGGGTGTGATTTGAGGCGAAATGCTTTGCCTTGATTTCTCTCTCTAGGGTTCTGAATCGAACTATAGATACACAAGTAGAAAAAGGAGAGTTTATAGAGAGAAAGTGAGAGAGATGTGAATGGTGTTCAAATAGTTGTTTGGGTTTGTTTCTCTATCTAGAGAACTTTATAAATCTCAATTTAGATTATGAGTTTCTCTGTAGTATGTGTGTGTGTGTGAGAGAGAGAGAGTGAGAGAGATGGATTGTGGGTGTGCTCAAGAATAAAATACTAGTGGTCGCAGAGTGTTAGCAGAGACGCTTTGCTGTTAAGCAGAGACGCTACACGAGTGCATTAGCAAATTACAGTATGACACACTCTTTTTTCTCTTTAGCTCCGATTTGGTGTTAGAGTGAGCGGTATGCGCGTTACGCACCTGGCCTACAAAGGGAAAGATTGTAAGGGAGTGCATAGTACGCATGCTGCACATGGGAAAGAAAAGGTTTTTAAGGGTGCGTAAGACGCACGCTTGCGCGTTTTAGTGTAACGGGTTTTTACTTTCTGTTCCGAAGCTTAACTATGTCCGTCCTACGGCTACTAATTGGTTCGTTAATGTGTTTATTTTTATTTTGGGAGAAATCCAGTTGGATCTTTTGAAATTTGTCACTTAATCACTCATATGCCTGATATTTGAAATATTACACACAAACCTCTTAAAATTTGTACCCGCATAACACTTACAACCTTTATTTAAATAAATCATTTAATAAATTATATTTAGACCTCTAAAGTTTGTAAGTATATAATTCTTAGACTACTTAAGTTTAAAATATTATATTTAGACCAAAAATACTTCAATTAAAGATAAAATATCAAATATTTTAAATTTTACAATCGAAATTCATGTTCTATTTTATCATTTATTGAAATAAAATCAAAAATAAAAGTTCAATTTTTTTCTTAAAAAATCATAATTAGTTTACAATTATATTGTCTATTAGAATTTAATTTGGTCGTTTAAATAATCAAATTAAATACCAAACTACCCCAATTAAAACTAAAAGATATTGTGTCCATTACAGTTTAACCCCTTATTTAATTTTTTAGTTTTATTTTAATAGATAGTATAATTATATAATAACTTTAATTTTTTTTAAAAAAACTTAATTTTTATTTTTGATTTTATTTCAATAAAATGAAATAATAGAACATGAATTTTAGATGTAAAATTCATATTCTATTATGAATGACTTAGACCATTTGTTTGATTTTTTAGTTTTATTCCAATAGATAGTATAAATGTATATTAATTACAATTTTTTAAGAAAAAATAAAATTTTAATTTTAATTTTATTTCAATAAATGATACAATAAAATTTAAAATATTTTATATTTTATATTTGATTGAAGTATTTTTGATCTAAGTATAATATTTTAAACTTAAAGGTCTAAATATTATATACTTACAAATTTTAGGGGGTTTAAGTATAATTTATTAAATGATATATTTACGTCAGGAGTCTATGTGTTACGTGCGTACAAATTTCAGGGGGTTTGTATATAATATTTTAAATGTCAAGGAATCTAAGTGATTAAGTAACAAACTTCAAAAAATCTGAGTGTAATTCTCCCTTTTATTTTTTAAGCTTCCACATTAACTTCGAAGACTACGAAAATTTGTTTTAATGTAAGTGATGTTAAAAAATAATCTATTTTTTGAATTTCTTTAAAAAAAAAGGGACATTTTTTCAACTTTATCTATAGATTGGACTAATAATTGAGTTAAGTTGATTAAGTTAAGTTGTTCGAACTCGGTTCGAATAGGATTCAACTCAAACTTGACTCGCGTTCAAATAAATGAGCCGAGTTTAAATATTTTTTTAGATTCGTTTAAAAAACAAGTTAAAAAGGTTTGACTTGAACTTGTAAAACTTGACTCATTTATATATAAAATAATCGAATTACTTGAATTCGGCTCAATTTATTTTTTAAATAAGTTGAACTTGAACAATTTTTTAGATTCGACTCAAACTTGCAATACTCAAATCGATTATTAATTTTGTCTATAAAGAGACATTAATCTAGGGACACCCCATATCCTAATTGAAATTTTATTAACAATTTTTGTCAGTTTTTATTTCAATCCTTTATAGGTTTTTTCATATTTTCAAATACACTCTTTTTATTTGAAATTTCTTTGTTACCTTTTTGATAATTTGATCTGACGAACCCAAATTTAATTGGGTCAGACCCAATAAATTAATTCAACCCAGATCCACTAGAAAGACAAGCAGAGTCCGATTCATCAATCCGATCCATTCCAAGATTCAAGGAGTCTAGGAAGATAAGAGCACGTGGGAGAGAGAGATCATTGGGATACCTACTCTCGAAGATCTAGACAATTTTAATTATACTTATGACTAGTGCTTTTACCCGCACATCATCGCCTCAACCAAGACTTCATCCCTATAAATTATAAGTCTTTTTCATATGAGAGAGACACATCTTCACACATCTCTACACCTCTCTACACACCCCTCACATAGGTTTTATCTTTCCTACCTAATGTACTTCTACCAAAGCACACCTCTCCCAAAGCTTTTCTATCTTACTTTATCCATTAATAAAGACTATTTGGTCACCGTTGTCGTTTCTCAGAGTGGAATAAGTCACTTAGACTGAACCACTATATATTTGTATGTTAACCAGATATTTACCTTTTTATTATTAATTGTTTTATTAATTATCTCATTAATGACAATTTATCACACACTCGATTATTAATCTTTAATAAGTCTATTTTATGCATCATCATGATCAATTAATGACATTAATGTGAAATTATATTTAACAAAAATACTTTAACTTTTTTTATACTGAATATACATTTTGTAACTTATACATCGTAGTTTTACTTTAACCACTAAAAAATCGTCGATGAAGCATGTCCTTGAGATCTGTATGCCTACGAAGTAACGTTTATTGCTTCCTTTTCTTTAGAGTTTTTATGAGTTAGCAAAAGTTCAACACTTCGCAGTGATAATTAAATACTATGATCAAACACCCTCTAATCTCTACGATAATGAAAAGTAGTAGATTTTGGCAAGGAAGTATACAAGGTTTTAAGTTTGTTTATTGATTGGTAACAAAATACTATAACAACATATTTAAAAAAATAAAGATTTTTTTTTTGGGTGGTGAAAAAAAATAAAGAATTTTCAGATAGATGTCATGGCACACTCTCAACAAGAGACGGATAGATTGCATGCGCAGATTGAATGATTTAAGCACAAGCATGAAGGGGACTTTGCTTGGCTTGTAGTGCAACGTAAGAAATTGTTTCTAATGCGTACGTATGCAATTTCTTTTAGTGACTGTCTATCACCGTTCTTGTCTTGATTACTTGGGTTAGGCTAGTTATTTTTTGGTTTGGTCTTATTATTTAATCGTGCCTCCACTTCAGTTCCTCAGAACTTATTTTTCCAGCCTATCTTGTCAAACTTTGCTTGTGGAACATAGTCTATTGCTCGGTAACTCCTTGACCAAGCATTTCTTAATTTACCGAGTCCGTAGTTTTCTCGGTCATAATCGAACAGATCAATTGATCTTGCACGTGATCCTACCATGTCTCTTAATATAACTGTCATGTTAGGAGTTCAGAGATTCTGGTCCCCTTCACTTACTCTTAGAGAATATTTTCTATTTGGCACATTAGGAGAGATTCTCTGCATGTAATCATTTTACTTCATTTAATAGTCTCATTTCATTTCTCACAAAAATATGTTGTTCGTGTCCTTTTCATGGGAAAATGGTCATCTCTTCCGTTCTTATTTCTTCTACTATTTTCACCAGTTCTATATTTTCAAAGTTCCCTTGCGCCCTTAGAGATCTCTGTA